TGATAATGAATTTTCTTATTCATCAGTAATAAATAAATAAAAAAATCATTTGTGTTTTGTTTTACTAGAAAATAAACTCTATCTTTTATATGTTTAGCTAAAAGAAAGAAAACAAATACTAAATCAGAGAAGACCAAAACATGGTTCATTAACTTGTGTTATTTGTGGTTCACCAGCACTTGGGTATAATTTTGATGCAATTACATGTGAAAGTTGTAAAGCATTTTTTCGTCGTAATGCTCTAAAAAATCCCGTAAGTTTTAAAATTTTGTTTATTACTAGAATATCTCTCGTTTTTTTTTTAATATCTCTTATTTTAAAGACAACATTACAATGTAGACGTAAAGGTGGTTGTGAGATAACACTCGAAACACGACGGCGTTGTTCAGCATGTCGTCTAATGAAATGTTTTAATAATGGAATGAAACCTGAACGATTACAAAGAGTATTGATTTAAAATATAAAATTTGAAAGAAGAAAAAAAGTTTTTTCACAATCATTTTATTTTCTAAGGCTGAAGAAAAAGCAGCAAAACGTTGTATAATAGAACAAAATCGAATTTTAACATTACAAAAACATGTGATGAATGATGAAATACATCAAGTATTACCATCGACATCTATCGATAATGTAAGATAATCTTTATTTCTTATCAATCGAATTGATTTATTTATTTTTATTTTTGTATAGTTGTCGACATCAAAAGAAACAAATCTTCTTCATCTAACCGATTTTACTCAATTTCAATCACAAGCACGACGAGCATTACTTACTAACGAGGATTTACGTCGTGTAGAAACTATTCAAAATTCATATAAACGACGTATTGAACTCGGTTAGTACATTCACAGAATATGTAGAATAATTCAATGGAAATCAATTAATTTATATGTTTGCTATTCTAAACAATTCATTCGAACTATTTTCTCTTGCATTTCTAACAATGAATAGGTTACATGAATTTCTGACCCGATCAGATCCAAGTTTACCTCATTAGTTCCTATAAAAAAATCTTATTCCTATGAATAGTTGGTATACTCCGTACTGCTTAGCAAGACGGCATAGTCCATCAAGTAGGAATAAATATTTACATTAACTCACCGTTTATATTGTAGATTTTCGAGTAGTTAGTTTGTTCAATAAATTAACTGATGGCTTCAATTGATGTGGGAAATTCATATAGTACTTTTTCGTCTACTGACATACAGTGCTACTTCTCGAAGTGTTATCTCACGTTCGAGATGGGACCTCAGTTATTACTTAGAGTCTGTTAAGACTAGAAGAAATCTAGAACGATTCTTCCCTATGCGCTGCCCTTTTGGTTTTATGATCGTTACACTGAATTTTTTTACCTTCGGCATGATATGTATAAAAAAATCTTACAAATAAATTTTGTCCTAAAATTTTGCTCATAGACAAAAAAAACCCATGATGTTCTACTAATAGGACGGAAAATCTAGTTTTTTTTTAAATGGATTTGATATTTCGAAAAGATAACAGTCTTTTTAGCTGAAAGTTTGAGGAGATTCTTATAACTTCAAGAACTGTTGATGGACAAAGTTGTAGAACAAAAATTCTTTTATTATATAATTTATTTTAGCTGCTCGTGAAGGTCTCCCATGGGATCCATCTGTATATGCAACAACTCTTTTACAACATATAAATTCTCGTTCAGTACCAATAATGCGTCTTTTAACATTTTTCAAACAAATACCTGAATTTAATCAATTAAATGTTGATGATAAAGTTACTTTAATTAAATATAATCTTTTACCATTGAATATTCTTAATAGTACATTATCATATAAAACAGAAACCGATGAAGTTATGGAAACTGATTCTGATGTACCATGGAATTCAAGTGTAATACAAAAATTTCATGGAAATGAAATATATTTGCGAATAAAAAAAATTTTTAATTCATTTGTACGTATTGCACAATATGATCAAAGAATAATTCAATTAGCACTTATTATACTCATATTAACAAAAGGTTTTTCAACAGATTCGGATTTTGATGAACCAATTCTTAATGATGGTATGGCTGTATATCGTGCACAAAATTATTATACAGAATTATTATGGAAATATATGGAAACAACACATGGTTTTGAAAAATCTACATATATATTTATTGAACTTGTTGTTCATTTTATATCTTGGCAAACACTTGAAAAACAATTACGACTTAATCTACGAAAAGTATTATCACCAACAGATATGAATGAATTATTACCAATAATGAGATCATTATTACATATGTCATAATATTTATTTAGAAAGAAAGCAACAATGTGTTTTATTTATTTCAAATTCAATGTATTTAATTTTTATATTGTAATATAACCAATAAAACATGGAATTATTTATTATTGAACTTTCGAATTTAAGTTTATGTTGTACAGTTATATGTATATGCATTTTAACAAAATTTATATGTAGCCTATATTTCACTAAATATATTTAATAATCATAAAAAATTATCTCAAATAAAACTCATTTGCATGTTTGGATCGTTTCTGATCTTTTGTTTGATGTCAGTATGTAATTTCTCTTCGGCAAAGACTTGCAAAACCACGGTACCTTTCATTTTCTTTTCACTTCTTCATGATATATGGATTTTTTTTGTCACCTGAAAGGATTTTCTATTAAGTTTGATAAATCTGAAGACTCCAACACAATTGCTTGATGAAGGTCTGTGAAAAACCGAGGCTTTGGCTTCGATTCGAAGCTTTTTGGAGAAGATTTTATTTGATAGAACGCATGATTTGTCTTCGACCTTCCTTTATCGAACAGCATCCAATTTATAGAAGACCTCAAACCGTCAAACACGACAAAAAAAATTGAAATTTTCAATAAAAGAAAGAGAAATATGTTTGTTGGGCTTTCTGTAAATTGACTGTAGCTCGATGAAGGAGGGTCGGAGACAAATTATTTGCTCTATCAAATGAAATCTCTTTCCAAACGCTTCTAATAGAAGGCAGAGTCTTGGTTTTCTACACTCTCATCCAAGCAGTTTTGTTGGATAGAGAATTCATTCAGCTACCTAAATGTTTTTCCAAATTCTTGCTAGCTACTGTCATTGAGAAGAAAACTTAAGAATAGAACTGTACTAAACTTATCTCCATCACTATAAATAAAGCGTGATTTTGACAATAAACGACATTCTGTTAAGTATTCAAAGTTCTTTATCCTTTAGAATAAGCCACTTGTGGGGTTCACATCTTTTCACAGATGGAGAAATTTATTTCTAACAAAGATTTGAGGAAAATGAAATCTTCACTGTATTTGCAGACATCTAGAGTCTCTCTAGAAAGCCTTAGACCTAGTTTTTTAGCAAAAGAAACGTTTATTTTAGAGATCTGAATACTGAAAAAACCTAGATTTCAGATTTTCTAGAGATCATAAGTTTTGAAAATACCATTAGAATTTCATTTTCGTCAAATTTTTATTAGAAACAAGATTTCTCGATATCTTTAGCAAATCTTGTTTTCTTTTAATCTAAAATGTAAATAATATCATCAGAATAAATTACAACAATAAAAAAACAACGCCAAGATATTAATGATGAGAATACATCTGAACAATAATAAAAAACAACTAATTTTTTTAAAGTAGTCATACATTACAGATGAAAGAACAAAAAATAAACAATAGAACGTTTATTTTACTATTTTTGTATATTAATGATATGATAATATCAAAATTCTCAGATTAGATTTTGTTTTTCATTGGTATCATTTGTTGAAGTAGCTAAAAAAATGAAATTAATTAGATTCAATGGCAATTTCGAACTTATAAAAATCAATCAGATGAAAGAGAATAAAATTAAACGTTATTAACTAAATGATATGGATAAACGATGTTGTGTAAACAAGCAAAAAAAAGCGAACTAGAATGCATTAATGGATTTTATTACTATCGAAGAAAACTTTCATTTTACAATAAAAAGAGACTAGCTATTATGCTTCAATTTATCGAGGACAAAGAGCAATCGATCAAAGTTCTGCATATGAACGAAAAAAGCCCTATCATTTACAAGATTTTGACACATATTTGTAGGACTAGCATCAGAAAGACTAAGTCTCATTCAGACCTCCTGTGATACCAACATTAGCAACAGTTTTAAAAAATTTCTGGAGGTTCAGCTCTCCTACCTGTGGCATTGCCAGTAAGGTAGTAAGAAAAAGTCTAACAACAACGTAGTTTTGTTTGTTTTTCTATGATGTTAAGTACCTAGGTTCAATCTAGATAATGATTTTAACAGCTAATAGAGTTTTCTTTTACCAAGAGTTCATAGATGAACTAGGATGGCAACCGAATACAGTAGTTTTCAGGTCTCAGAAAGTTTTTTTTTAATAATGCCATTTAAAGAGTACAAAATAAGAAGTCGTCGCATTTTCAACAATCTTCTCTTGAAATGTTAAAAGTATTATTAAAAGACGTAAAAAAGGCTTCCTTTTTGTTTTTTGTGATATTTATAACTTTTTAAAGAAAGGCCATAGAAAATGCAGTGACTCACCATGTTGTACTCTTTAAAATGACGTTGTTAAAAAATATTTTTTGAAATCAAAAAACTACTGCGTTCGGTTGCCGTCATAGTTCATCCATGACATCTTGGTCAAAGAAAACTTCATAGGCTATTAAAATCACTATCTGGATTTGAGCTAATTGTTTAACATTATATGAAAAAAAAGCAAAAATACGTTGTTGTTAAATTTTTTTCAACACCTTACATATTCAGTTAAATTTGATGTACAGTAAGTACCCATATTATTCAACAAGGTTTATGTTCAATTTTTTTCGCTGCTGTAAGCGCTAAAAGGAATCGAGATAATAGAGAAAGTATCTTTTCAAGTTTATTTTCCATTCAGCATAAAATGTATTGTAATAGCAATTAATACCCATAGGTATTAATGTTATTCTTCGTTATGCATATATTTATATTTACTAAATAATCCGTTAAAATTTTTTATTTTCGTATTAATTAATTTTTTTTTCTAACAAATTTCAAGTAATTTAATCATATTATTATAAAGTAAATATTGATTATGATTTAATCTTTTTTGACATTTAAAAAAAAGAATGTATTTGTAATTCATCAGATGAACATCTAATACAAAAAAAAAATTCTTTTTTATACCTTAATTCAAAACGTGTAGATACACATGATTTAATAAATAAATGAAATTCTTTTGTATATCTTCGTTTTTTTATTTCTTCAATATATAAACTATTACTACTATCATTAAGTGTCATCACTAAATTTATCAAAAATGAAATATTTAATTATAAATTCAATAAATATTTCATATATACTTTCTTCTGTTAATTGAGCTTGATCAAGTAAAATTAATTGTGAATCTTGAATTTTAGCATATAACATCTAAATATATATGTTTTTATACAATATCATTGAATAAATTATTAAATTCGTTCACTTAAATTTCCATAAGACATATTAATATAAGTATTATTACCATTAGCAAGTTCACATGCAACTATATCTAAACTATATATATATATATATCACTTTTAAAATTATAACCATCTGTATTCTATCAGAAAATGAAAAAAAAACAACAACATTATTTTAGTTTTATTTATTTCTTTAAACAAACTTGATAAATAACTTCTGGTGTTAAATATAATACTTGATCTTTAAGTTTATCTGTATAATCATGTATTTATTTTCGTAATTTTCCATCATATGTTGATATCATTGATATACAATGAGAAAAATTATCTAATAAAACATGGACATTATCACAAAGATAGATATTTTTTGAAGCAATATCACTTGGGATATTTCAATACAGAGTTAAAAATGAATAAGATTATTCAATATACCGATGTATTATATGTCTATCTTGAAGATAACGAATAGCTTGTAATGCTTGCCATACAATATGAGCAATTAATTTCTTCACATATACCATATCGATTTGAATTGAGAAGATCGGCACAAGAACCTTTCGATTAAAAATGAAAAGATTAGATTTTCTTTTTTCTTCTTCTAGATATTATTCTATAATAAAATTATATTTATTTTAATTTAATCGGAAAGTTACTCAGAGCAATAAATGTCCTTCAAGGAAAGTATTCTTTAGTAAAATATTCTAGAGAAAATATCCACAGAGTAGACGTCCTTGGGGAGAGATCAAGCTGAATAATATGATCGCTTTAATAGTAGTTTAAGGACAAAAAAATATTTATTAATTGTATTGTCCTTTTTGAGTGCAAATAAAAAAGATTAAGGTCGATGATATTTATAATAAAACGAAAGCACTTCATCAAAGTTAATTCATGTGAACTTGAAGGAAGGACATTTATTCGAAGGACTAACCAATGGGAATATCAATACAAAGATACCCTTGTCAAGGATGCATATAAGCCGATTCTTTATGCTTACCGAGACACCTCTTGTCTAATGATTGACTGTACTAATTGATATACTTTCGAAGTTTGTATGACAATGATATGAATATTTCTTTTAGTTAATATTAAATATTAATCTTACCAACTGAAGCATAAGGTTTAATAAGATTAAGTTTCGTATCAATAAGAAAACAATCTTTTTAAGTGACATTAAATTAAAATGATTTAATTGTTTATACCATGAAATGTCTTTCTATACCAAACAAAAAAAAGAAAAGACTAAAATAATTATTTGTATACAAAATTATCATCATACAATAAATTCAGTTAAATTTGTTAAATTTTCAAGATCGATTAATCAAAAAATATATTTTGTTTTATTTTTATCTTTTTCATCATTTATTAAATAAGTCTGACAATATTGAGAATCTTTATCGTTTGACTCGAATCGTTCTAACATTAATTATAAAAATTCACTAAAAAACTCGAATATTATCCCTTACTTAACGTATCAATTATTCGATATGTTAAATTATAATTATTCATCATTATTTCCTATCTGAAAAAGAAATTGAACGAACCAAAAACTAATTATTATAACTCACTTTTTGATAAAAAAATACAAATTTATCTCATACTGGAATGCACAACGAAATTGTTAAATAGAAGTGCAATTAACCGTTGAGTATTGTTTCATAGAAATTTTTTTTTATTCAGAAATTGATTAGGAGTAAAATCATTGTAATGCTTTGAATCCAAAACATCAAACAATATCTTTCGCACTTGTATACGTAAGTCCTTTCTCATTGTTCTCTTTTGTCTTCATATGTTTTAACAAAAAAGGTTTCAAACAATTAATTGTAGTCGAATACTATTTGATCAAAACTTTCATAGATAGTGTCTGTTATACAGTAAACAACTCCTATTTTGACCAAGGTTTCGATTGCACAAAGCGATTTTTGCTGGACATGCATCTTCTATAGGTAAACACCTTTCTACTCTGAACTTGAATATTGTTCTTACAGTTCTGATTGGTATTAATGAACACATTAAGGAAAGCAACAACATCACAACATATATTACATGCAAAAATTCAATTAATTAATTAAAACAACGATTGTAATGATAAATCACAATATGAAAAATATAAATTTCACCTAGCTCTATATTCCATATTTTAAAAGGAAAACAGAATATTTAAATGGTTATTGAACAATCCACAATCAAAGTATTAAACGAAAATTCGAAAGTTTTGACGTAATAAAATTTGGTGAATGTATATACGTCCATGAAATTCACATACATTGAGATCAAAACACAGGACTTTTCAAAACAAAGCACAGTTTTATATTCACAAATAGTCAACTGAAGAAAGGCGGGAAGACAGAGAATGGTTTTTGATTCCTTCAAAACTAGAGTAAAGAAGTTTATTTTCTAAAATAAGCCTAATTGAAAATGTCAGATCGACCATGATGATTATGATAATCAAGGGAAGATACCCATAGTATCCAACACGGATATGTCTTTTTGCAATCAGATCTGCATAGCTGTACCTGATACTCGACCGGAGTTAATCGACATCTAGTAGATACTTTCACAGTCATAGGACGGTTTTCAAACTTTTAGTTTATATAAAGAAGTATCTTATTTAGTTTCTTCCATAGGCAGCAACAAAAAAAATGTCATTTCAAACTTTACGAAAAAGCGAGTGATTCAGACTTCACTGGACCTCTTCCTGCTTCTAAAATCCTATCAATTTCGCTAAATATACGTTTGCTTGTAAGTGATGACGCTGAAATGGAACACGGTGTTGGTGCAAAACGTCATACATGAATATTTTTTTTTATCACGATTATACATGTTCATCTTTTTGACAATTCATTTTCCTTTTCATGTATTTAATTACTGCATCATATGGTTCATCATCATTTACAATACATTGTTCAATCATGATCAAACCGGTTTGTACTCTCATTCTTTTATATAAATTAGTAGTATCAAAAAAGTAAAAAATATTTTTGGAACGTCGAGGTCTCATTAATTGTTAGGTCGGGTCGGAATATGAGATCATGTTCGGGACTCGATCTGACTTTTTTTTTCATGTTTGGCATCTAAGCCCGATCAATTAAAATTTATAAGATCCGAACCCAGATTTGGGTCGGACCCGACGGAATCTAAGACAGGGTGTCCGACCGGGTTGCAGGATACCTCTTTTTTTTCAAGGACATTCTTCTAGATTTTATACTTGCTCATTGTGTCCTCTATTTTTTGATAACCAAATATTTCCTTAAAAAAATCAGATAGTACTTAAATATTATCTTTTGCTTATTGAAATAATGTGCAATCGTGTATCTTATATTTACGTTCAGAATTGATAAGAACATCATGATTTACATAATGTAAACCATCAGAATATTTCTATATATATATATATATATCAATCTTTGATATTTCTACAAAAAAAATAAACCAAAATCTATTTTTTCCTCAAGAATCCAAACCCAAATATATTCAATCTACAGATCGAAACAAAGAAGTTTATAAGAAACAAAAGAAAAATGAAGATCACATGTCATATGTATGTATGTTCATTGTTTTTCTTTTTTTCGCGATTTAGTTTCTTTTCTTTTTGGTTTTCTTTTTACAATCAATATAACACACATACGGATAATAAATAGAAACAAGACACACATGCGAACATACAGAAAATACTGTCAATCAGGTTTTATTCATACAAAACCGAACATTTTTGTTTTTATCGCATATTGAAGTTTTAATTTTAAAATATTTTTTGACGAATATAACGGAACATATAAACGACTGATACATGTATTTGCTGTTGGTAAATGTTGATCATCAGCTGGACGTATTGTAACTGATGGTTGAGGTTGAAAACCAGCTTCTGATGCTGGTAAAGCTGGACTACCCGTCCAAAAATAAACCTTTAAATAATAAAAAAATAAAAAGTTATGTCTTAGGAAAAATGAAAAACAAATATTTTATTCTTACTAAATCTTGTCTTTCGACAGCATTAAATTTTTCTAATACAGACCAAAACCATTTTTTAAATTGATTAATACGTTCAGTAGTTTCACCTAAAAAGAAAATAATTTGAATAAAAATATTTTTTTTCTCTCTTTATTTTAACTTACCACTTTCATCATTAAATGTTGTATATGTCATTAATGTTGTTACATTTATATTACCAGTACCATTTAAAAGAAGTCGAAAATCTTCTGGACTTAAATAATCAAGTGATGTTGATGGTAATACATCAAATACACCCAAACGTAAATGCTTGAAAAAAGAAAATTAAAAATCATTTTTTTTTTTTAAGATTTATAATAAAATATTTATTTACTTGAAGAGATTGTTCAACAAGTGTAATCATTCGAAATTCAGCATAACGTTTAACAAATTCATAAAGATTAGAATATGTTACATCTTTTAATGAACCATCTGGAACAAGATCATATGTTTCACCTCCCTAAGAAAAAAAAAATTAGAACTTATAGAATCATTCTATTAAATAGTTTCAAAAGAACAACAAAATATTTTTCATTTTTCATTAAATACAAAAAGCACAAATTGTAAGTAATTGGATATAAGAGAAATAATTCAACTACTAACCTCTTTTTCTGTAACAGTCATTGAAAATGTTAAATGAAGATCATTTATATATTGTGGTCCATTTTTTTCTGCATCATATGCAGTTCGACGTAAATTTTCATACATAGTTGAATCAAAAAAAGCTAAATCATGCCAACGTATTGGTCGATTTAAAATATATTTTATCACATGACGACATAATGGTAATGGAAAAAGTTCATTTTGTAATAAACATAAACCAATTAATCTAAAAATAAGAATCGTTTTTTTTTCTTCTCGTGAAATAAAATTTAGAATTGTTTTTTTGTTTTTTACCTTCCAACATTTCGATAAGCTGTTAAACGTTCTGATGTATATTTTCCTGGTCTTGGTGCATAAACACCTTTTTTATCTGGTTGC